CCTTTGTGCGGAAGACTGAAGACTAGAGCAAGGGAATTGAGCCCTCCCCCCCCCCCCCCGGATTGATGAGATGCTAGGTCCCCCAGTGCCCTTTTACCCTTGTTCGGGGGAGGGTTCCCCTACTAAAACAGACTACGGAAAAAAGGGTACCCTTATTCTAAGCTCTTTACTGGAGGACCTAGGATCCATTTGCCCGAGGTACTCCTTGTGGTTGAATCCGTGGCACTACTTCCAGTGGCCTCTATCGCGCAGCGTCAGCCGCAGCGTGAGCCGTGAGTTCTCGAATGGCAACGGCCTCTCCCTTCGCCGGATCTTGGCACGAGACAGGAGCCCGAACCCACAGCCCTCTCCGAAGCGGGACGGCAACGGCGAGAGGCCGGGCCAGAGACGGAAAAATCGATGTACCGATGTAGATTATACTTGTTTGGGATGTTGCATGTTGGCATTGCATGAGTACACGTTGAATCTATGGGGAATGGAAGGTCATGGTTGCACTTGAGCTGGAGAAGCTGAGTTTGCAGAGTTGAACGCAAATAGCATGGGTCCAGGCAAGCCAACAATCTATGTGCGGGACATTGCTGGACTATCAAAAAAGGAAACCGTACTATGCATACTCTCTCACATCCCTCGCCCTGGTTTGTAAATTTTCATAACCAGCATCGTTTTAGAGGTAAGAAGCCTTGTAACAATCACTACATGCAGATTATTGAAATACAGTGCGCACATGTTCCGCACCTTGGGTGTGCGCTGCAACACAGTCCTCGATGTCGATCGAGTTGTTTCCTCATCCTATGAACCAAAGTTGACATCGCAGATATATGTTCCATACTTCACTGATAAGACCCCTCTATTGGATACATCGGAAGTGTTTGGGGGTCTCAAAACCGGGCTGTTTGAGGGAATGAATTGGCAGTCTTTGGGTAGAGAGAAACATTCCCATGGCATCCTAATTTTGACATCGGATGAATCGGCCCCTGGTTGATCAACAAGGGCCCCTACTCGGGGTCCACATCTTTTGCCGTTGTGGTTTCTCTCAACCCAAAGGGTATCCGCACAAAACGCAACTGGCTTTGTTTTTTGTTGGGGACCCGTTTTAGCTCGTTTTTTGGGGGTATATATATATATATATATGGCACCCCGTTATGTTAAGAGACGCCGGAATATTTGTGTCGCGAGGGTCCAGATGATGTCCCTCCTCACCTGCGGTGCTTTTGGCTGGTGGAACGGCTCCAAAGCCCAGCCCCACATGGCCGGCCGCAGCGAGAGCCAAGCCAGCGGTGAGCTGCGGGGCTTGCAGCCCAGTTGCCTCAGATCCAAGGCGTGAGCACACGCTGTAGCAAGCTGGAGGAAAGACCGAAAGACCTAGATTTAAGTTTTTTTTTTGTGGTGTTTTTTTTGTTTTAACTTCCGGTGGGCTGCTTGAAACACCAAGTTGTGTCCAGTTTGCGCTAAAGTTAGGACATCCGGTGGGGTGCTTGAAGAATAAAAACGCATGTTTGTCGCAGTACACGATCAACAACAAAACTGCAACTTTTCATAGGGCTGGCTTTTGTTTTGTTTGCTGTTGTCCCGGAGGAAACATATGATGTCACGCTGTACCTCTAGGACATTTTGGATAAAGGTGTAGGCTGAGGAAACAAGTTGGGATGGAAGAAACAGCTCATGATCACTTCTGGCACGCGCACTGTTTTGGACGGATCTGGGTCAACCACACGTTGTTGATTCGAGCTGGAACGCGGCAATGCGTTCGCTACTTAGTTTCCAGGTCGTGTTGAACTTTTGCTCTTCATTGGGATGAGGGGAAGCGTCCCTCACTGCGAAGACCTTGGATAGCTGCATTCTGGCCCACAAAGCGATTCAATTGAGCTCGAACTTGAAACATGTGTTCACTAGTCACATGGCTCAGATTTGAGTATTCATGCTTCTTGTTATTTTCTGTAGGCGGGATTTGTTCATGTATGTTTAGAAAGCAACATGGTAATTACGCCCAGCATTCCAGACAGACTTAGTCACACAACACCTTATTCGGGGGTGGCAAGTAGCAACCTCATCATGGTTCAGACATCCTGCCAGGGAGCAAAACTTGAAGGGCCCATGTCGAGTGCAAGACGTTTCCATCAAGGGTCGGCATGATGAGATCAGTTTGTGCAGGCTGTGTGCCCATTTCAAACATTGTCAAATTTGTGCGTAGTAGCACGTACCGAGGGAAATGGGGCATACCATTTGGAAGGAGGTTCTGCATGTTTGTTGGGGCGGGCGAGCTTCATGAATGGTCTCAAGAGTCTTTCTAACTTAAAGCGTGCGAGCATGCGTGTGTGCTTGTCCGGTTCAAGTAACATCCTGCTTGTACATACAGAAGTCGGTGGGCGGAGTTGTGGTTTCTTTCTGCGTTGGCGCGCTTTTTTCCACGCTCGGGCACAAGCCTCTAGGCGTTCTCGAAAGCGGCTGTTCGCGGGAGGGATGGGAGTTTCAGGGATGGGACACGTTGCTTCGCAAAACCAAAGCCATCCAAAGACAATTTTGTCATGTTGGTGCGCTCAGAAAGGACGGAATCCAGCAAGTGCCAGTGACCATTTGGCGATTGAGCTCGCAGCTTCCAGCTGTTGTTGTTTTCATGTTTGTTTGTGTTTACGCTTTGCGGAGAAGTTGTCACTCCCTGAGATGTCCGGGCAAGTGATGGTTGCACGCTGGCGACAAACCGCCGCTTGCAGCTGCCTAGAACCATAGCCATTCAACCTAAGCAGGAGAGACATGAGCAGCAGAATGGCCAGTCCTATCACGGGTTATGTTTTTGCCGCGCCTTGACTTCCTTTGCTTGATGGAAATTCTGGTGAGTGTTTGCAAAGGTGAATGTAGCAATACGATGGACAATCAATTCAGCAGTTTAGATGGGCGTTGGCGCAACACACCCGTTTTGCTTGAAATCTGACGAGTCAAGAAGCTTGACCTGTATATTGATGGCTGCAGCATGTTCCTCTTAGGGCGAATGCCTATTTTGGTGGGTCCAGAAATGAATGAGGAACAGCGAGTGCGAAGCGTTGGAATAGCTGTTGTTGTTTGAGGAAGTGTTTATTGACATCAAACATATACTGGGTTCTTCAAGCTCAATCCATAATCCTGATGCCAGATGGTCGTGGATTCCCTTGTGTCCGAGGGATCACCCCATGTTGAAGAGCGCGGATGCTAAGAAATGGCCTGACGCCTTTGCTTTCAAGCTCACTTCGGATTGCGCCGGTTCCTCATTCTGGAATAGGATTTAGGGCCTTTGCCAGGCATGCAGTAATCTGCGAAGTTCTGGGAAAGTCCTCCGCCTGCGCCCGAAGTCTTAGACTTGATTGATTGAAGCCGGGGTGTAGCCCAAGAGAATTCAGCGGGGGGGTCTGCCGAAGATAATTCAGCAGAGCTGTATTCATGGTCATCAAGAGTGGGCTTCGGTCATGGGGGCTGCCTTAGTTTTCTCAAGACTTGAGGAGATATGAAGGACTGCGGAGGTGAGCTCAACCATAGACGGCTTGGCGCTGGAGCAAAGCAGTCATTGGAATCTGGTGTCCTTGCTTGCAGCCTTGCTCTTTTCAGTTGCCTAGAGGCGTGACCAGTTAAGGAGACTGCCTCGCATGAGTAGCAAGAGGTCATTGTTACGCGCAGCCCAACATGTTGAACAACCAATACTCCTCTTGGTAAATTCGTTTTTGACCCAAGACTCCAGGAGTTGGGTTGCGTTATTGACTCAAAGAAGAACCTCCTGAGTTGAATGATTGTATCTGATACAGATTACTGCTTGACTTTCAAGTGCCCACGCTCCTGACATCCGCAGACCGCGCCGGTTGGGTGCGGGATGCGGCTGGGCCTTTTGCAAACCCAAAGGCTCCGATGTCGGACGAAGTGCCTGGCGCACCTTCCTGGGCTTGGATTTATAGCGTGGAATTTAGGATGAGCAGAGCGAGGGCTTAGAAGAAAATGGACCGAACTGGGAGCAAGGATGCTGCCAGGGAACAATGCCTAAAAGCTGATATCGGACATTGCCAAGTGCCAGGGTTAGCCGTACTAGTTTTGCGAACGCATCTTTTGCTCAGGGAGCGAGGAGATGTTTTTTTGTTTTTTCTTGGGGCCATGGGCTCCGAGCCGCACGCTGACCGGGTAGTTAGTGGGCCCAGGCACGACGTCAAGATTGCGGACTTCGGCTTATCCAAGTGCTTGAAGCGAGTGGGTGAGCAAGGTCCAGGCAGGGATGCCGATTTGATGGGGGATGACCGCGAGGCGAGTTCGCCGAGCCTTCAATAAGGGATGGGTTGGCTCCAATTTTCCAGTATAGTCTACGGTCAATTTGGAGGGATATGGGGCCAACAAAGGCCAGGGGCCTCTCTAATTCTGTGTCATGAGCGTAGAGGGCATGCTGTTTTTGACCTTGGCACACATAAATAAATGTGTCAAACAGTCCTCGTGGCAGTCTGTACGTCAATGCATGTTAAATGCTGGAGAGAGGTGCTTTGACCGGCTGCTCTCTGCAGCGTTTGATGCCACTCTTTGCTCATCTTTGCTCTTTGCCCAATCCTTGGCAAGCTTAACGTGGGGCCAAATTATGTAGCCCAGCCATTTGCACGGTTGACCACACAAGGGCTTGATGGTAGCTGCTTTTGAAGCTGAACTTCCATTGGGGCTTTGCCCGGAGTGGTTCGGAGCGGCTGGGGGTTGGGGCGGTTGGATGCCAAAATCACATGACAAACGGAACCAAAGAGTAAAGTCTGCGCAACCCTGGCTCTTTGATATTTTGAGCCACACCCATTTGTTGTTTTTGCTTTGTTGCGATCGTTTGTTTTCGATTGTGTGCGTGCGTGCATCCGCAAACTCGACGAGTGAATTTGAGAACATGGGCAACAGGGGCCTTTGTGAAGGGTTGGATCTGCGGTTTCTTAACCTGAAAACGGGCTTCCCCGTTTCAGCTTTTCAATCGGTGGTTTGGATCGTGGCTTGGTGCTTAAGGCCAGTTTCCCGGAGCCTCCACAAGAACCAGGCGAAATCGGATCCAACCCCCCGATCCAAACCAGCCAAGGGTCAGCCGCGGTCAGCCTCACTATTTGCTCAAGCCTTTCGCCAGGCATGACAGCCTGCGGCACCCTGGATTACTTGGCACCGGAGGCTTGCCGGATGCTGGAACTTCGCTCGCGAGCTTGTCGGTGATCTTGTCCGATTGGTTTATGCGGCTCCTGCCGGATGGAAAGACTCTTAAGCTCTCCGAACAGTTGGATGCGCTTGTTTTAATGAGGAAGCTATACTAATACAGGCAACAAATTGGTGCAGATCTGGGCAGTGGCTTGTAGCAGGTACTTACCAGCAGTCTGCAAGCTGCTGGTGTGAAGCTGTTGCGGGCTTTTTAGGAAAAAAAACAACAAATGGCAAATTTACAATTGCAAGGTACATGCCGTTTGTTGCAGTATCGTACGGCATACAGTTAGCAGCTGTACTCAGCCTGGTGGATTTGTTATTGGATTGGTTGTAAATGGTGCTATGCCAGCGATAGACTCTCCTTGCTGAATGGATCACTGTTAATTTGTCAGGGGGGAGAGGCCGTAGAGACAACTTAGATGTTTGGACATGCACCGTGGGGGAGGGACGATCAACCAATAGTGCGAATGTTCGAAACCTGCAAAGTTACGCTAGTTCTAACTTACGGCAACTTTTGTCACTCCAACATGTTCACAGCGCGTGGGAGTGAGTGCAGACACAGCCAAAGTCCACTCATCTTTACAAACATCTATTTAGGTGCCTTGCGTTTGTGGAGTCAGATCCCTCAACGCAAGACCGAGGTTTGTCCACAGTGCAATTTGCTAGCAGATCATGATATGTGTCGCGATCGATTAAACAAAACAAAAAAAAAACGTTACTTGGGGTTAACAGGGTGTGCATCCCTGGTAGCAAGGATCCTCAATAACCATTATAATTGTTCCTATTGAGAGAGAAATGACCACAGGCCATATAAGGAGTTGTGACCATGTGTATGACTTATTGGCATTCGGCTTGAAGTTGCTTGTTCAGGTGCGAACGTGTTCAACTGTGTCGATCAGTATTTACTCAGGCTGTGCCCATGCTGGACAAATGATGGCCAAAATCGAAGCTGCCCGGGTTTGACGGGAACGCTCCGTATCCACTACATAAAGGGTATGAGACATGTTTTCCTCGGGGTAGTGAAAAGCCTTCTATTGGGCAATCGTTTAACTCGCAGTTTCCGTCATGAGGGTGTCAACCGCAGAGACTTGACAGCCTAATTTCCTGCCTGTGAAGCGATCAGGAAATCGGGAGATGCACGACAAACAACAGTTTACGCCCAGCAAATCATCAAAAAAACATCAATAGACATAATGATGTTTATTTTGCAACACTTGCACACAGTCGGCTTCTTTGCGTCATGGTGAAACAAGAGGCTTGCGTCACGAAGATGTCGCGAGGCTGATTCCTTGACCAAAATCACGTCTGGAGCCTCGCAGGTGCTGACAGGGCACTACGACGAGCCACGCGACAGCACTTGGTGGGCCTGGGGTAACACCTAAAATGCCCCCTCGGGAGCTGCGTTTTATGGGACATTCTATTCCCAGACAGGAGCGAGTGTCAGGGAGTGTCGCGGGGTTGGGGGCTGCTGGTGGAGGTTTGGGTTTACTTCCAGGAGATCAATCGAACAGAGGAGCTGAAACATGCGGCGCATCATGCCATTGGCTCGAGTTCTTGTATCAGCTCAAGAGAAGCGTCGTGGTTTTCGGATCGGGACAAACAGGAAGGAGCTTCGGCGCCATTTCGCCGAAACCTGGCGGTTGGTTTCACTTGCGTAGCAGAGGCGGGCTTTGGAAGACGAAAGACATCCTTTTGGAACAGCCCTCCACTTCCATGATTGTTGGAATAAGGGCAATTGAGAAGGTTCTGGAAGGCACCCGGGGAAAAAAAAAAGAAGACATTGTCCAGCTGCAGATTGGAGCTTCAGGCGAATCGACTTTTGGAGCTTCGGCGCGCTGCTGTATGTGATGCCGTACCGGCAGGTTATTCTTACGAGCGGGTTGACTTGGGAAATTGGGGCGTTGGCTGACTCGGCTGGCATATCGGCATCCGTGTGATTTGAAGCAGATGGAAAATGATGCTCCTAAAGATGTGGCAAGGTTCGGGCTGGGATGGACTAAGACAAGGTGCCACACTGGTAGAGATTGATCCTAGTACTGTATGAATGAAAGAGTTTCTCAAAAGAGTTCCGGTGGAGATATGAGAGATATGAGCTCGGCAACGGAAAACAAATGCGTCATCAAACAATGTATTAGATACTCTATATATATATATTCACATTTACATTGAAGGGACGAACATACATGCATGAAAGGTACATGTTTATATCTAGTCCGTCTTGCATTGGGAAATGGTCAATCACAAGAGACTTCCGCAGAGGGGCTAGTATGGCCCATCGCTGCAGAATGAGAACCATCGCCAAACTTGTGAACTTACTTGATCGAGATCAATGTCAAG